TACGCCGTACGAGTCCGAGCTCGCATCATGGTGAGTCCTTGTGGTGCCGTTTGTTGTTAATCAACATGCCGCTATTACTTGTCTTGGAAGTATAATAAAACAGTGAAGTGAATCAACCTGACATATCAAGACTCCTTAACAACGAATATATGAATATACATCTAGTCGAATCCAGTACCTTATAAGTACATTAAATCTAAAAATTGCAAAGAGGGTATCACATAACAAAACCAAGAAGCATAAAACAGCCCATAAAACAACCTCACGCCCCCTCCCCAAGATACTTCAAAACCTCATCATTAGAAAAAAGCAACTTCCGCATCCTCTCCCCACGAGCCCGATCCTCGGCAGCCTTCTTCGCAGTCTGCTTAGCATTCAATTTGTGCACCTTCGTCGGCGGCGGCGGTTTAGGCGGCAATCGATCCCCATCCGCATCAAGCCCAGTGCCCAGCCCGGCGGTATCATTCTTCGGGCGAGGTTTGAGTGGCTCCCTTATTCCCTCCCGTCCTGGTGCGCCGAGACCGCGTCTGCTATCTGGATCCCAGCCGTATGTTGAGAGGTAGCGGAGGCCTTGGCGTGTGCGGTCTAGGTGTGAGGGCGGGTGGGAATGGGTTAGGCAGACTTGATGGGCTAGGGAGGCCTCGTGGGGTTGGTCTGTTTGGTTTGCTGCGAGGGGGAGGTTGCATATTTCACAGTGGGTGTCGGGCTGCCGGGTTTTTGTTGGTTGTGGTTCTGCTTCTGGTTCTTCTGCTGGTGGGGGAAATGTTGGTTCGGTGGGAGGTGGCGCGGACTGTGTTGTGCGGGGAGGGGGTGACTGTTCCGTTGGTGTGGGTGTACTTGGTGATGTCTTTGAGGTTGGCTGTTTCATTACAATGGAGAGGTATGTGTCTGCGATGCTTGCTCCGGAGGTTGTAGAGGAAGCTGGAGTGGTGGTGGTATCCAGATCGGAGGAGCGGACGAACTTTACGCGTTTGCGACGGACGCCGGATGTGAATGGGCGCTGCTGCTCTGGTGGGAGGAAGTAGTCCTCCTCGTCCATGTCATCCATCTCAGACATGGCTAGATGTGAAGCTGTATAGGAAGTAGCAGTGCAGTAAAAGAAAGAAAGAGAAAGAGAGGACGAAAAGAGCTCCGGAGATAGCGATAAGGTAGATAAGCGGATAAGAGTACGTGTACGTGGAGAAATTAATCCCTTGGACATCCTCTTCTCTTCTTCACCTCTCAATCCTCCAACATGCCCATCCCAATCATCGCCCAGGGCCTCCGGGAGGGCATCTCGTCCATCCCACACGCCTGGACGGTCATCCGATACGCGCCATGGCTACTCGTCCTCGCCGCCTTGAAGTACTACTTCGAAGGAGCCCGCAACACCTCGGAACGAATGATGCGGTCGAAAGTCATCATGGTGACAGTACGTACACACACAAACACACTCAATTGCTCTTCCCTCAAGCCCCCGGACCAAACTAACACGCAAAAAGGGCGGCACATCCGGCATAGGAGCAACAGTGGTCCGCGAACTAGCCCTCCGCGGCGCCCAAGTAATCCTCCTAACCCGCCAACCACCATCCGACCTCTTCCTAGTAGAATACATCGAGGACCTCCGAACAACAACAAACAACCAACTAATCTACGCCGAACAAGTCGACCTCTCCTCCCTCCACAGCGTCCGCACCTTCGCCACAAAATGGATCGACAACATCCCACCCCGCAGATTAGACAGCATAATCCTCTGTGGCGGCATTGCAGAGCCTGCCCACGCTCGCGGCCTAACCCTCGATGGCATTGACCGCGAATGGCAGGTCAACTACCTATCCAACTTCCACCTCCTCAGCATCCTCAGTCCGGCACTCCGCGCGCAACCTGCACACCGCGACGTGCGAGTTATCTTTGCCAATTGCTCCAGTTATATTGGTGCTGATTTCACCGAGTTGGAGGGTATGGCGCGACCTAAGCCTCAAACCTCCAAGACAAAGGGTCAGGGTCAGGGTCAGGCTGTGGTCCCACCTCCGAAGAACGTCTACGCCTTAGCCAAACTATCCCTCACGATCTTTGCACATTCCTTCCAGCGCCATCTGAATGCCTACAAACGACCGGATAGTCTGCCACCCTGCACGCGCGTGATAATGGTCGACCCAGGTCTCTGCCGAACACCCGGAACACGGCGCTGGCTAACAGGTGGCTCACTATGGGGACTAGGGCTATACCTACTCACCTGGCCGATCTGGTGGCTGGTGCTGAAGTCGCCGCAGCAGGGCGCGCAGAGTATACTATACGCAGCGATGGAAGCGGAGTACGGGCGTGGCGATGGCGGGTGGTTGATTAAGGAGTGTCGGGAGGTGGATTATGCGCGGAGTGATGTCAAGAACGATGAGCTAGGGAAGAAGTTGTGGGAGTTCAGTGGGAAGATGATTGAGGAGGCGGAGAAGGATAGTGCTGTTCGCCGGGCGCTTGAGAAGAAGATTGAGGAGGAGGCTGAGAAGTTGAGGGCACAGAAGGGGGAGAAGAAGGTTAGGGAGGAGGAGAGTTCGAAGAAGGGGAAAAGTGATGGGTCTAGGAGGAGTCGGAAGGGGAATGGGAATGGTGGGAATAAGTGAGTGTACGTATATTGATATAGGTAGATATTGGTATAGATGTGCAAGGTTGCATCTATACATGTCGACAGTGTGATCTAACTCAACATAACATCGGTTCATAAGTAACTTATAGACTAGAAAACTACTTGTGGTATCAATTCACAAAAAAGGAAATTCGTTTCATATATTCTACTAGAACTAGATCTTCTATATCAACAAAATCAAGATAAGATCATTTTAAACCACGCTCACAACCAATCCAACAGAAGCAACAAAGATTAATTTTACTTCTTAAGCGCAGCAAGGAGCTCAGCAGGGGGCTGCTGGCGGTAACCCTGGGGGTTGTTCTTAGTCCAGAGCCAGAGATCCTCGCAAGCCTGCTCGAGGGTACGCTCAGCCTTCCAGCCGAGCTCAGTGTTGGCGCGGGTAGGGTTAGCAGTGAGGTTGAGGACGTCACCAGCGCGACGGGGAGCAACCTCATAGGGCTGGTCCTTGCCGACGGCAGCGGAGAAGGCGCGGATCATCTCGTAGACGGTGCTGCCCTTGCCGGTACCCAAGTTCCAGGCGCGCACACCGGGGTTGTTGGCGCGCAGGTAGTTCAGGGCCTTGAGGTGGCCGTCAGCCAAATCCAGGATGTGGATGTAGTCACGGATGGCGGTGCCGTCGTGGGAGGCGTAGTCTGGTGGATGTTAGATGAACTGTTCTGTGGTCTTATAGGGATTAGAGGCAGGACATACCGTCACCGAAGACCATCAGCTTCTCGCGCTTGCCGGTGGCGACCTGCGCGAGCAGGGGGAGCAAGTTGTAGGGGACGCCCTGGGGGTCCTCGCCCATGATACCGCTGGGGTGGGCACCAGCGGGGTTGAAGTAGCGGAGCAAGGCACCGTTCCACTTCTTGGCCTCGGCCTCGTTGCCGGCCTTGATGGCATTGTTGCGCTGAGCGTTGATCACGTCGGTGATGGCGGTCTCAACGGCGAACTTGGTGTTGCCGTAAGGGTTGGTGGGGCCCAGAGGGCAGTCCTCAGGGATGGGGATCATATTGGGGAATCGGGTGGCGTCACCGTAGACGGTGGCGGAGGAGGAGAAGACGATGTTGGTGACGTTGTGCTTCACCATGGAGCGGAGGAGGTTGATGGTGCCGTAGACGTTGACCAGGTAGTAGTCCAGGGGCTTCTCACCGGACTCACCGACGGCCTGGGGAGCAATTGTTAATTTCTATGGTTTCTTGGTTTGAGTTCTGGTACATACCTTCAGCGCGGCGAAGTGGATGACACTGTCGATGTCGGGGTGAGCCTCGAACACCTTATCGAAGCCATTCTCCTCGGTGACATCGAGCTGAATGAACTCAGCCTTCTTGCCGCAGATAAGCTCAACACGCTTGAGGGCCTCGGGCGAAGAGTTGTACAGGTTGTCAGCCACGACGACCTTGTAGCCAGCCTCGAGCAGGGCCAAGGTGGTGAACGAGCCAATGTAGCCCGTGCCACTGCGGGGGAGTTAGCTGGAACTCACAATTGAACCAGAAGAATAGATGATATACTTACCCAGCAACAAGAACAGAACCAGCAGACATGATTAAAGATGTAGAAGTGAGACAAAATGGAGCAAAGACGGGGGAAAGTAGAAAGCGGACGAGGGGCAGCTTTTAAGGGGAAATTGGAGGTGGGGGGGATGGGCCCTCCCATCTCTTACTGTTATGACGCGGCCCAGTCGATCGACGGTTTCTAATTTCTCATTTACTTGCTACAGACCCTTTCAGGGGTTATTATATACAGATGCTCAATTATATCTACTTTTCCTGACTCAATTGAGGCTAACTATGAATTGTTAATGTACTGGATATGCCGTGTTATGAGTGATCGTCCTGGCGGTGAACTGCACTCACTCGAAAGAGACATGATATGCATCCGACGAAAATCTCCGGGTGCGGACGAGAATGACAAGAATGACGAGACTGACGAGAATGAACACGAGAATATACAAACAATATTCAATGTTCAACGCGGTCATTTGTGTACGAAGTGAAGCTGATCTGTCCTTAACCGTTTCAGGAACCGGTGGACCCGTCCCGATCCAGGGTCCAACCCGTTCCCGGGGCTCGGCATTCTTCAACTTTTTATAGATATCTCTCGAATTGAATGAAATTGGTATTGAAAATAATAAAGCATGGGCACAATAGTACAACCCGATTTTTATGGGCCAGAATTCCCTTCTAATCGTCCATCATAAGAGTCCAATGCTCGTGTAGATGGAGAGTTGCATTTCAGCAACCGCAGACATGTGGGATAGCCTCAGGGACTAGTTCAGGTCTGTTGGGACCGTGTGGTCGGGCCTCAACTCAGGTATTTATGGAGTGAGGCCCAACCGACCCGGCAGGCGTATGCCGGATCCGACTTGAATTCAAGATAACCCAGGAGAAGGTGATGTTCAACCAAGGAGCTCAACATCCAAACCGATAGCACGCATGAAAAGGTTGACGTTGCTCAGGCGCTGGCTACCCATGTCGGCAGGTAGGGTCTTGCTGTAGCCGACAGTCTCCATGACACGATCCCTGGAGAACATAGTTAGTACTGATATCGACAAAATGTATAGACTAGACGGGATACTCACTTGACGGCGATAACTAAGCGCTGCTGCTGCTCAGGGCTGGCGCCAATACCCACGGCAGCAAGGAACTGCCACACGTACATGTCATCTCCAGAACTGATCGTGCCAGGGAAGATATCGTTCAAGCCCGGCTCCAAAGTATCGAAGAGCACGTTGAACTTCTCCACCCACTGCTGCCAATCGTGCTCGGAAGCCTGGCCGGCCTCCTTGACAATTTCGGCGCGACTGAGCAACATCGTCAGAATGCCCAGTCCAACCTTAGTCCGAGCCACGGTGTGCACGTGGGTTTGGTTGATAACCAGTCCCAAAAGACCAATGATGATGTTGAATGGCGCCTCGTTGACGTAGCCCAATAAGCAAGGCATGACAGCCAGGGAGAACAAGTCAATGGCTTCGCGCACAGCAAGCGATGGCTGAGCCTCGCCGGGGACGGGCTGAGCATGGTGGACCACATCAAGGCTGTCCAGGTGAACGACAATCATGGTAAGGATAGTGACGCGCTGTTCCTGGTCAATGTGGCGGAAGATGCGAGGAATCGCCTTCTTGCCTTTGGGGTATGACAAGAACGCGATGAAGGGGTGTGGTGTCGTCGAGTTGGGCACAATGGGTTCCATCACTTTCAATGAGCGCCAGAGCTTCTGGTTCAGCGAGTGAAGCTTCTGTCTCCATTCCATGTGTTCTTGGATCGCCTCGGCATCGCCCTCCTCAGGGGGTGGGGGCATCGTGCGCTCCATATCCTCCATGGCCATCAATGCACTGTAAACACCTTCAAGGTTGGTGAGAATCGACTTGCGGTCACTAAGACTCAGATTAGAGTGCAGCTTTTTGGGCTTGGCTCCCTCTGAGCTATCAGGGCGCTTGATGTTCAGCATGGGCTTGGGTGCCTTGGCGTTGCTGAAGGCGATCTTGCCCAAACTACCCTCAATGATGAGTTGCTTATTCTTGGGCTTAGCCTTGGCCGCCTCAACCGCACGCTGAACTTGCTGTTGCATCCGCTGCATGTGGTTGTCGGCAGATTGGAAGTTCCGTCGGCCGTGTCCACCAAGTCGGTTACCCGTTTGAAGGAGGTAGGTCTGAGCAAAGTGACCAAGAGGCTGGTGGGGGTGTTGGCGCGGTGCACCACGGATCTGGCTGTAGACCTGGTAGTAGAAGTCCTCGGCCAGTACGGCCTCGGGGTCCGAGTCTGCGACATTTCCAGCAGCCGCCACAAGCTGTTGCAGTTGAATGCGGGTGATGAAGTTCTTATCCTGCGGTGTCATCAGGCCATTGCCTCGTGACAAGAGGAAGATCTTATGGTTGCGCTTCGCCCGCTTGGCATCCTCCACCAGGTAAGCGTTACGCTGGTCTTCCGTCAGATGCATAAGCTGCTGTGGGTTGGTAATCACTGGCATTCCATTGTTGGAACCCCGAGAGGGGGGCGGTACCTGCTGGGGCTGAGGTTGCTGGGGTTGTGGAGGGCGTTGGACCTGGGGCGGACCGGCATGGCGTGGGCCAGCAGGCGGCATGTGTTGCGGGGGGAGATTGGCGTTCTGCATCATGTGCAGGGCCCCACCAGCGGGAACGGGTCCAGGGCCATAGAGCTCCGGCATACCAGGCGGTGGGTGCATCTGTGGGGGTAGGTGGCCTTGTTTCAACTGTGCCTGCAGGAACTCCGGAGGCACCGGGGGGAACCCATCGGGGAGAGTTGGGAGATGTTGGTGCTGGGGAGGATAGGCAGGCTCCACCATGGAGCGCAAAAAGGCCTGAGCAGCTGGACTCGCATGTTGAGGGTGTTGACGCATCTGCGCCTCAACCTCCTCCAAGCTCATCATTTTCCGGCTCGGTGCTGGCTCGGTCTTCTTCTGTGAAACGCCCCAGACACTGGATTTGGCTTGCAGATCCGGAATGTACCCGGGATCTGAGTACTTCTCATACCCCGAGCGCTTGACGGTCTCCACGGCGGGGGCCTGCTGGACGGGAACTTGGGCCTGGGGCGCGACTCGGGGAGCATTGGGGTGCTGCAGACTAAAGCGAACCTGCTCCTCGCCAATCGCGTCGGACACCTGAGCGGTTTTCCCAAAGAAATCAAAGTCTCTTCCAACCGATGTATCGGGAGCTCCGCCAAACGTGTCATCGTTGAACTCATCCTGATCGTCGGGCAGCTGGTCTCCCAAGCCGTCGTAGGTATCCTCGAAGTCGATGCTAGGTGAATATGAGTACAATGGTAAATTTCGATAGAAACGGGAATCCTCACACATCGTCATCCTCGAACGCGTTAGCTCTGGCGACTTCCGCAAAGGGGTCTGGGTTTTCGAAGAACCCCCTAGCCCCAGGACCATCGCGATCCCGAGGTAGGTTGGTATTGAAACCAAAGAAAGACATCCCTTCTGCAAGAGGATAGGTGGGGAGGTGATGTTGGTGGGGGGGGAGGATGAGTGACGGTGCGATGGTCGGGGCGAAGTTCTGGAATTTCGTCGCCTGAGGCAGCGTTGCCAAGCAACTGTCGATCTGATGCAGCCTGAAGTCTCGACGTATTGCAGAACATTCTGTACAGGGCGGGCAGAGGGGTCAGATTGACTGTAGGGTCTATAATTTGAGTGTTTACCACTGTTGATAATTCCAGAACTAGAATGTACATGGTGGCACTAGTACAATGGCTATGTTCTTAGCGAACACAACACGTTTACGGAGTATACAGACCGTTATGAATATTATAGATACAGCACGAGGTATTTCTTATAGGAGTGGAACTTGCCGTCACATTCTGTACATGGACCCTTTACAATGCAACTGAAGGAGAAGTTGGAATTCCCCTGAAGAATGTCTCAAGTAGCGTGACACCTGGGCTGAAAGCGGTTGTCATAGTCTTGCGCGGCCTCTTTTCCTTCCCATTTTCATCTATCCGTCTCCGGCCCCTGCACCTTCGTAAATTACCTTGGGGCCGTTCATTTCTTCTATGCCTCTTTCTAACTCTGACTGAGCTGGTGTTCTTGTTGTCTCTACCTCGGGGAATCGTCCTCGCCCCTGCATCATGTCCCTCTCTTTTCGATATGCGCGCTATCTCCTCTTTGCCGTCGTGGTAGGTATTTTCTGAATGGATCGCAATGGCCTGCTAACACTGATCAGGGATTGACGGTCTTCTTCGTCATCTCCAAATCCTCGATCCCTCTCCCCAGCATCCCCAGCACCACCTATACCTCTCCTGCGACCAAAACACCCCCGACCTATGATTCCGTCAAGTCGCAAAAGCCGCAAGTCCTTGGCACGAATCGCGCTGGACGAGTAAATGCCACTTTTGTCACCTTGGCCCGCAACTCTGACCTGTGGGATATGGTCAAGTCCATCCGGAGTGTCGAAGATCGTTTCAACCGTGATTACAACTACGACTGGGTGTTCCTGAACGACGATGATTTCGATGAGGAGTTCAGGAAGGTGACCACCTCGCTGGTGTCCGGTACCACCCACTATGGCAAGATCCCGAAGGAGCACTGGTCCTACCCGGATTGGATCGACCGGGACAAGGCCAAGGAGGCGCGAGAGGAGATGGATCGCAAGAAGATCATCTACGGTGGCTCCGAGAGTTATCGCCATATGTGCCGCTACGAGTCTGGGTTCTTCTTCCGTCACCCACTCATGATGAACTACGAGTACTACTGGCGTGTCGAGCCCAGCATTGAGCTCTTCTGTGACATTCCCTCTGATCCGTTCCGTTTCATGAAGGAGAACAACAAGAAGTACAGTTTCGTCATCAGTCTGTACGAGTATATCGAGACTATTCCCACCCTGTGGGATAGCGTTAAGAAGTTTACGGGCACCCACCCTGAGTATATCCCCGAGGGGAATGCTATGGAGTTTATCAGTAGCGACAATGGTGAAACCTACAACAGGTGTCACTTTGTGAGTACGCCCTATTGAGGTTCAATCTCCAGCCCCGCTAACTTTCCTGCAGTGGTCAAACTTCGAGATTGGCAGCCTGGAGTGGCTCCGATCCAAGGAATATATTGACTACTTCACATCGCTAGACAAGGATGGCGGTTTCTTCTACGAGCGCTGGGGTGACGCACCCGTGCACTCGATTGCCGCCTCTCTGATGCTGAAAAAGGAACAAATCCACTTCTGGAACGAGATCGCCTACTACCATGTCCCATTCACGCATTGCCCCACCGAGGAGCAAATCCGATTGGATCTCAGATGCTCCTGCAAGCCGAAGGAGAACTTTGACTGGAGAGATTACTCTTGTAAGTGTATACCCTGTAGTAACATGAACACAATCTAATTGTCATACAGGTACCAAGCGGTGGTATGACATCAACAATATGCAAAAGCCGGCGGGATGGAGCAAGAAGGATGACTGATTTGCTGCTTACTTGTATCTTTGGGCCAGCTCATAGCCGGCCCAGTCGTTCTCTTTAGCGACAATGCGCGGGTCGGTTGTCCAGATATGAAGCTCGCGTTTCGGGGCTGACAGTGTCGCCCATCTGCGCTGCTTCTGCAGGTACCATACTCCACTTGAGTGATGCCTGGTTGCACTATATCCACCTCTATTGTAGTGGAGAAAGCACTTGGATGCAGCGCCGTTTCCAAAGTTGAGCGGAAAGTTGCAGGTCTACCCTACCCTTGTTTCTGATTTATTTTGATTCCCACCCAAGTACCAAGAGCTTTCACTTCGATGTCTGACATGTTTTACTATGGATTTTCGAGCGTTATTCTGTTTGTGGGTTTTTAGCATGGTTCACCGGAGTAAAGTGATAATCCAGGGACCATTGGTTTTCTATACATCTAAAATTTGCAAAGACATCATGAATACAACTGATCCAACAAGTCGTGAGCGTCAACAAGTAGATGATAGAGGATAAAAAAGCAGTCGCAATGGTAGTGTTACATGCAATATTCACACAAATTTGCCCAAGCAGCAGAGCAGAAAAATCAAATCAAACGTTGGTGCTCATACAATGATCTCTTGCATAGCAGTAGATCAGATTAAAGCACAGATTTGTATAATCTCACAATAGGTTATTCACCCCATAACGAAGCCATCTTAGTTGGTCTTTGGCTTCTTCGTGCCGTACTTTGAGCGACTTGTCATACGGCTTCCAACGCCACCCTATAAACAGTAATTAGTAAACGTCCATACCTCATACCATCATATAGAGCCCTGCACAATGAATATAGTGCCAGAAACCCAAACTTACCAAATCCATACCACCACGAACAAGGGTATACTTCACACCAGGACAATCCTGAGCACGACCACCACGAACCAGAACAACACTGTGCTGCTGGATATTGTGGCCTATAAAAACAACTTTGTATTAGCCATACCGCCCTTCCAATCCAATTGCAATAATCTTACCTTCACCAGGGATATAAGCCGTAATAATCTTCCCGGAACTCAAGCGCACACGAGCAATCTTCCTCTCACCAGAGTTAGGCTTCTTAGGCTTGGTAATACCAGTCTTAAGACAAACACCCTTAAGCCCAGGCGTTCCCACAAGCGCAGGTGACCGACCCCGGCGCGCGCGCTGACCAGTCCGGATACCGCGGCGGACCTGGTTGTATGTAGCGCGGATAATAGGCGAGCTGGAGAATTGGCGCTTGGAGGTTGAGAGGGAGAGTGAGGAGAGAGTGGTAGAGGTGCGGAAGACGGGGGTGAAGTTGAAACGGGTGGTGAGTGAGGTTTGGGTTTGGAGCTTGGTGGATGTTGTGAGGGTTCGGCGGAGAGGTGTTGTTGCTGGACGGTGGGCAATGGTCCGGAGGGCCCGGAGGGCTATTGGGGAGAGTAATTGTGGCATAGTAGCGGGTGTGGATGACTTGCAATTGCTCTCCGGGATGGAGTCGAGAATATTGATGGAATTGTCTGTGTCACGTGAGCTGCGGGTTTGGTTGTTGTCGGTTGCCGGAGGAGCTGGACGCGCTGCCTCTCTGCCTGAAGCATCATCGGCGGTGTCATCTTGCATCTCTTCCATTTCTCCTCATACTTTTCTTTCTTTTCTAAACGAGCTTCGAACATTTTCTCAGACCTTTCAATTTGCGATCTGTGCTCTGATTTTGAAGACTACCCTTCTCTACCCGCCATCATGGTACGTTATCAAGCTACGGACCTTGGACCTCACCCTGGAGGTGGAAGCCAGCCAGCAGTTAGCAGCTAGACTACACATCCTGCGCTCCATCCCCTGATTTACCAATCCCCAAATACTACACATCAATCCATCCCCAAGATCCCAAAACTAACAAAGACCCCAGTCTCTCCGCATCGCTCCCCCAAGCGGCAACCCATCCCAAACCAGCAACCTCACAACCCGCCAAGCGGGCTCCATCACCGCCGCAAGACCCTCCAAGGGAGCCCCCTCAGCCCCCGGCCTCCCAGACACGCTCCGCAACAAGCTCACGCTCCCAGCAACAGCACACGCCTCCTCGACAAATGCCAGCGGCGACATCCCCTCATCGACACACCCACTCGAAGCCCGCCTGCTGGCGTGGCGCGCCACCCAGGAGGCATTGAAGATGGAAGGTCTGCGTCGGGCGTATGGAATCGCCGAGCCCGTCCGCCGTGGTATGGAGCTGAAGATCGTGCGTGATGGTACTTTCCGGCCTGCTGTGCTTGGTGGTGTTCGTGGGGGTAATGTTCATGAGGATATTCTTATGCTTGGGGGTCGGGATACAGAGGTTCAGTGGGAGGATATTTATCAGGGTATGTGTTTCGTCTGTTTCTGGTGGTTCTTCGTTGGGGGATAAGGTTGGGGATTGTTTGGCTAACTTTATCTTTTGTAGGTGATGACCTCCGTGAGCCGCCTACCTTCCATGATGAGATGGAGAAGAGGCTGAAGATGGATTTCTAAATGAGCTTTTGATGAATGGTGTTCTTTATGTTTCTGTTTTTCTCGGTCGACTGTTCTACTGGTCTCTTCCTCATGTCCCTCGTCATACTCCTATCTTATTCCCGAATAGAGTGCTAGATGTTTGGATTGATGCATTGTCGGTCGGCTATTCCTGTCTGTTCTTGGATCAGGCAAGGCAATGCTGTCAATGCATCGACTCCATGGTCTATTTCTACTAAGCCGTGAACACCCAAGTTATCTAAGAAATACACATATCACGACCAATTACGGAGTCACCATACTACCATCCTATACCTAGTATAAGACTCTTTGGCTGTATCAGTCAACTTGCACCTAGGCTTGGTACTCAGATAAAGATGGATGCTTCAGTAGGTTATCAGATCGCATATGACTCCATGGATACTACCCTGTACACTACGAAAAACCAAACCCAAACCGGGAAAGAAGCAAGCAAAGGAATGAACAGTAAAAAAAAGAGAGCAATAAATACAAGAAAGCCAGCAGGGCCCATACAGTACTTGATAAGAGAAAGAGAAAGGGAAGTCGGATTGGAGGGGGTATATAGAAGAAATCGGGAAGGCGGAAGGGCAGAAAGGTGGCAGAGTAAGAATGAGAATAGGATAATAGTGATAGCAGGACGCAAGACGCCAGAGGAACAGTGAAAGGAGGAGGAAGCACATCAGGGAGGGAAATGGTTCGTGGTCCATGTACAGACGAGGGGGCGATGCTTGCTCAACCCTAGTAAGGAAAAGAGAAGAATTGGGTAGAAGGATAGGAGACCATGCGGTAAGTCCAGTCAGAAGCAAATGTCCAAACGCCGCTTCCGGAGCGCACATGTTCAACGAGAATAGGAGTCCAGGGTGCGAGGATTGGTTGATCCTGCATCCAGGCAGGATTAGGTTAATCGCTGTGGTGGTGAAGGGATGTTGAGGGATATGGTAGACAGGAAAGACACCAGGAGAGTGGCGATGCGGTACAGTCACACCGGAGCGGTATCAAACTGGAAATCGGAGGGTCTTCGGTTGAAATTGTGGATGATAGCAAGTGCGGCGGAGATACATCCGTTGGACCGTGCTCTCAGCAAAGCGAGGTTTTATAGATTATAGAATCACGCAACGACAGCCTGGACTGCGTTCACTGGCCTCGCGGTCTCGGTTGTACTGTGCCTTGGCTCCCTTTGCGTCTTCCTCGTCGACAACTTCTTGCGGTTTCACGGTCATATGAACCACATTGGGGTGTTCTTTGCTGAACTTTGAGTCTGCGCATTGAGACCGTCAGTATATAATCATAATACATAGTAAACCGCAGCCACGGCCAGACAACGGAATACATACCAGAGATAGGCGACTTATCATCTAGCAACTTTCCAAAGGAGATAAGGCGAATAGAGCTTGGCGACGAGGGACGAGTCTCCCAATCTAAACAAGAAACCACCAAGTTAGCCATTTCATCCTATACATCATCCAAGATGGATCCTGCCAGGGTCACCCATACCAGATCTCCATTCGCGCCAAATCAATTCCTTGAGTGTATAAACACTCATAAGGAACGGGTCGGAATTCTCAACATTAACCGATCGCTTCCGTAGATATTTCCCATCGATAGTAAACGGATGGCGCGAACCCGTCGTCAAAAGCAGCGTGATAACTAGCGACGGACCCGCATCCTCGACTTCCTTGCCGGAGCCATCATCCGACTGCTCAGTTGACATCTCCTGCACGGTCTTGGGCTCCTCGGTATCCATTGACGTCGTCGTTGCCGCGGTAGTATTCGGCTGAGCGACAGCAGAGGAGTTGTCGTAGGATGTCGATGTGGTGGTCGTACCAGTCGTCGCCGTCACTGTCACGGGGGCGGTTTCGCCACCTGTGCCGGGGGTGGTTGCGGGGTGGTTCGCGACGGCAGCTTGACCTGGCTGGGCGAGTGGCTGTGTCGCAGGAGTGGACGGGGTTGCGTCACGGGCGGGAGCTGTCTGGGCTGGGTCTGCTGTTTCTGTGGTTGGCACTGTTGGCTGTTGGTCGGACGGAGATGTAGTCGGCTGGTCATCGTCTTTGGGGTTCAGAGTACCCGACTCCGGGCGATCGGTTGTAGACATTGTTCTTTTGAAGAACCCCAATAATATCAATTGACTAGCTTTCCCTGTATTTGTTCAGGGAAAGGGGGGAGGCACGGGGGCGAATAGATTGGGAGACAGAGGTAGACAGCGGAGGACAGAGGGAGATAATCGGGTTCCAGATGTGAGGAGTCGACTAGGCGGGAGGCGCAATAATACCCACTAGTGCGGTTTGGTCCGAAAGATGATCCTGTACAGTTATGAGGATGTGCAAACGAAGGACATTATATGAGGATATGAGGAGTTGAAGGAGGAGAGATGGCAAAGGGGATCGGCAGGCCTAAAGACTGGCCGACAGAGACCATGGTAAACCGGATCCTGTTCCCCCCTTTTTTTTCGATCAAATCAACAGAATAGTGGTTTGTTTATACAAAGAATGTGAATTTGCGCATTTGATTTGAAGATCTCAATTGACGATCCGGGGAAACTAGTCTTGCAAGGCCAAGAGCTACATGATGTGTGTTCTCCACACATCTATAATCGTCAATAATCTATATATATTCATTGTCTAGGTACCTTCATGTGCTATAGAGAAAATACCCGTAACCATTGCCCAATCCAGTCCATGTTGAAATACCTGAACACGGTCGCATACACCTCTGGCGTCGAATTGGGGAATCCTCGGCCAGGTCGTGGTGCATATGCAGGGGGACTCTGAAGAGAGGCTGCAGGTGGACCGTAGAGTGGATAGGTGGCTTGAACATCCGAGTCGATGTTTCAATGATTGCTATTAATTCTCCTAGTCTGTGTTCTGGAGGGCCTGGCCTAGAATGCAATAGGGCAGCCGAAAGACAATGCTGAAAATCACGGATTGGTTGCATTGCAGATCAGGATCATTTCTCAGACCTAGACCCAACCGGCATACTGCTCGAGCATTTCATTCTTTGCGCCTTCGGATCCATGCTGCACACCGAGTAGTCGTACGTTGCCGATCTTGCCTCCAAAGTCATCCTCGACTTTGCTCGTCCAATTCGCAAGATGCTCTCTCAGCCGCGCGATGACGGTAGGATCATCCCGGATTAGGATCGCAATGGCATCGTATCCTCCAGCTCCGGGGACCACGCCCCCAATGACACCTTCGAGCTCTGAAACACTATCCAGCAGCTCAGTCTGTACGCTAGGCTCGATGGGCACGCCCGTCCGGCGGGTCATCGTGCGGATGTGCTGGCGTGTACGCTCGAGGAGAGTACGGATATCTGAAAAGTCGCCGGCGGCATCTGGGTGCTGAGCCTGACGCTTGAGCTCCTGGCGGAGACGCTCGTTGTTATTTTGAAGACTGGCCCAGAGAATATCCGCTTCTTTGCGGTTGGCCTTTCTCCATTCAAGGACCTTTTTAACCATGGACGGTGTTCCAGAGCCACAGTCCACGTCGCACAGAACCAGCTGCATCCCGCGCGGAAGCTGCATGCCAAAGTCCACGCACTCGGTATCCCACGGGTGTTCCGTATCTGAGTCTTCGACGATGGGGAACAGGCGCTCCTCAAACCCAGGCGAGCCGACGTCGCCCAGTGATTCCAAAATTGATGGTGAGAATCGTCGGTAAAGGCACGATCCGTAGACAGCGCTGGCGACATCGAATCCAGATCCTACCTTGCCTTGGGCTGCGCAATGAGCTGCTTGAGCGAGATTGTGAAGCTTATCGCGACCAGCGCCGAGGTCTTCAGGCTGCATGGTGCGGTGGATAACCAATGCGGAAACAAGAGCAGTGACCAGAGCAGCCGAAGAGCCCAATCCAGTCTTGTGAGCTTCGAACAGAGGAACACCGAAGTTCACAAAGCGTCCACTTCGACCTTGTGATGCCGGGCCCTTTGAGGTAGCAGTCTCAGAGTAATAGTCACTATCCGCCAGGATGGTCACAGACAGGGAGCCAAAGTCCTTGGAATCAGCGACATAGCTGATATAGGTTAAGGCATAGCTCAATGATGTCTCGACAAACGGGTTACGCGGTCTAGAAGAAATACCCAGTCAGCAATGGCCAGAATAAATTCCCCGAACAATCATCCGAGAGGGTTCAACA